CTGTTTGTTTTTTCTTCTAGGTTACTTTTGAAATACACAAAGAAAACCTCGCCAACATATTTAGGGAACAGCAGGGCAAAGCTGATGAAGAAATGGTGTTGTGCCCTTCCAGTCTGGTTCCAGAAGTCACTGTTTCAGTGGGGTCCCAGCAATCAGATACGAAGGAGTCTCCTGTTTCTCCTCAGTTCATTAGAAATAGTGATGAGAACTCAAGTATTGGGAAGGCAAGTTCAGTAGACTCTTCATCCAACATTGAGCTGCAAACAGCTCACATATCTAGTGAAGAAAGGAAAATGGAGCAGGAAAATCAGAAGTTGCTGGATGAGGCCACTTTAGAAGAAACAATGACAAATGAGACAAAGGATGCCAGTGATTTAGAAGCATCTCCTGAGGCAGTAGAACCTCTGACTGTTTTTTCTAATTCTTTTGAAATACCTGGCAAAGATACAGTGGCTATCAATGAAGTAAGTGCTTCCATGAGTTCTCCCTCAGAGCAAGATGCTTCAGAGGTGCTAGAATTATTGAACAAGTCTGTAGTAGAGGAAGATGATGATTATGTGGAACTGAAAGTAGAAGGCAGCCCTACTGAGGAAGCCAGTTTGCCCACAGTGCTGGAAGACAGTAGTCTATCTGCAGCTTCTTCTGAAGCCTTTGAAGGGCCAGACATGCGAGGTAATGATAGCAAAGTAGTAATTGAAGAGGAAGTATTTGTTACTGAAATGCAAATTGATTCTGAAACTGGAGACACTAAAGATTCTGAGTTCCCAGCTCTGAAGGCCACAGGGTCTGTAGCTGCCTCACCAGAAACTACTGTTGCCCAAACAACTGTGCAGTCAGACATTGATCAGGTGCTGGATGAAGGGAAGAAAACAACTAACCTTGATGGAGAAACTAAATCACTTAGTGATTGTGCTGGTGATGTCTGTGAGATTCCTGCTACTTCTGAGCAAAAGATTGCAAAGCTGGATGTTTCCAGTGTTGCTTTAGATACTGAGCGATTGGAATTAAAGGCCAGTACAAGCATGGAAGCACCTCAGCCTCATCGACATGTGTTCGAGGTAATTATATGTATATATGTATGTATATGTGTGTGTGTGTGTGTGTGTATATATATATATATATATAGTCTTTTTGAAGTGTACTTCCACTGAGTTAAAAATAGAGCATATGTAGATACTTATATTTGGTTAGCATCCTATTCAAAATTATGTAAATGTATATGGAAACATAATATTTCCCAAATGGTTTTATAGTGTTTGACCATTAGTGTGAATTAATTAGTTTACTTATTGTGGTGCTGAGGATTGAACTTAGGGTTTCATACATACTAGGCATATGCTCTACTACTGAGTTATACTCTAAGTTTTAGTGTGAGTTTATTAAATGTCACCTTTTATTATTATTTTACCATAGTATCACCAAACATTTCCACTTTCAAGCTCCAAGACTGACATAATTTTAGTTTATAAAGTAGTTATTAGAAATATTTGCTTTTTACCTTTTTACTAAATCAGTCACACATTAATTTTCCAATAAAATCTAGGGCTATGTATTTGCCAAAATTTGGAGTTTAATTTGTACTATAAGTATTGTCATGAATCTGTGTGATTGAGAGGCATAGCTTTCTCTTTTTTTTTTTAAATCCGTGGTTCATAGTGACAAGCGAGAAAAATGGTTGGTTGCATTTTTTTTTTGAGCTTACTTTTTTCTTCTGTCCCTTCTCCCCCACCTATTTTTTGTCTGTTCTTATTTTTAAATTTTATTTATTTGTTTTTAATTTTTATGTGTGTGCTTGTGTGAGTTCATATACACAATATGTGCGCAGAAACCTGTGGAGGCCAGAAAAAGGGCATCAGATCCCCTGGAACTAGAGTTACAAACAGTTATAAACTGCCTGGTGTGGGTGCTGGGAATCAAACCTGCATCCTCTGCAAGAGCAAATGCTCTTAACAACTGAACCATCCCTCCAGCTTCCTTTTTCTTCTCTTCATTGTGTTGACCTTTTGCCTGTGCTTGTTTTAGCTAGTGAAGGTTAATCCAGCTAATGTCTGGATTGTAAATATTGTCTTTCTTTTTTGCTGAGATTCAAAATAAAAAACTGCATACTTTCTTTATGAAATGCTGCATAGTGGCAGCATCTTTAGTAACATGGCTCTGAGCTATTTACTGTTGAATTGTGATAGTTACCATTATTGATTACCCTACCTTAAATGTGTGGAAATATTACTGTGATTACTCTTCGATAGGCTTCTTCTCTCTAATTTTATACTTTATTGTCTTAGAATTAGAGTATTTGTTAGATGAGTTTCATGGAAATTACTGAATTCCTTACTTTGCTAATGCTGTCCTTTAAAAGTATTTAATTACTTTTTAAAACTTTTTTGTATCAGATGTCAAGGCAACAAGAGCAGCCAGGCCAAGGGACAGCACCAGATGCTGTTGACCCACAAAGGAGGGATCCCAGACCTACTATGTTTCGTATTCCTGAGTTCAAATGGTCTCAAATGCATCAGCGCTTGCTCACTGATCTCTTATTTTCCATAGAAACAGATATACAGATGTGGAGAAGGTTTGTCTATATGTTCTTATAGAAAATGTGTACAGATCTTTGTGTCCATTTTCAAATAAATATATGTAAACATTTTGTATTGTTTGTATTGCTTCAGATATTTAGTAAAAAAATAGAATATAAAGTATCCTCTGGTAGTATTTTATTGCATTAACAATTATTCTCCCTTTTATGAATGGAATCTTAGTGTGGCTTACAAAAACATGAAAATCCAAGATTTTTCTTGTAAAAAAAATTGCTGAAGGTTTTCTATGGCTGTTTTATAGAATTTGCTAGATGGTAGGTTTTCCAGATGGGCCTGTTATTGTAAATATGAAAAATAATTGAAAGCCATGTATAACATTGTTTTTGGCACAAGAAATCTGAATATTTCAGATTATTTTATATTATATGATTTATAACTTTAATAGCACCTAGTTTATTTGTATGTGACCCTATCACTGTATTTAAAAATATTTTATACCATTACCCAAAGACATATTAGTAGAAAATTCATTTTTAATAGCACATATAGTGCCATTTACCTCCTGATTTTCACTGTGACTTCTCAATAAGTATAATTTCTTTCAACTTTTTAATACAAATAAGATGAATAGTGCTTATGCGTCAGCACTTAAGCAGGACACAGATAGTGACTGCTGACAAAGAACGGTTTACTTATTCTGAGGATGTGTGTCCCCCGCCCCAGTCCTGTCCCCCTTATCCTTCCTGTCTTTTCAGGGTGACCCAACAGCTCCTCCTTTTATACCTCTCCTCAAGTAGGCATACTGTAATCTCTCTTCTTTAGCTTTATCAGTAAACATCATTTATCTTTGGACAGCCATTCAACAAAGACAGTAATGGACTTCGTGAACAGCAGTGATAATGTCATCTTTGTACACAACACAATTCATCTCATCTCTCAAGTGATGGACAATATGGTCATGGCTTGTGGGGGTATACTGCCATTGCTTTCAGCTGCTACATCGGCTACAGTAAGGACCTCCCTACTATATACAATTGGTGTGAAATCACAAGTGCCATGCAGCCTTATTGACCAAGCTTACATGGTGGTTACTATGCATCTTAGCTGCTATAAATCAGAAACAAACAAAAGAACTTTTGCAATTACCTGAAAAGAGTTTAGAATGTGTTGCAGGCATGAAAAGCTTTAAAAGAAAGTTGCTTTCTTAGGGATGAGTTAGCTAGTGAAGAATATAATTGAGAGTGTTTCACTTGAATGTGCCCAGTGCTCTTTCCTATGTAAAAAGGTAAATTAGTCTATTGTACTAGATTTCCAAAAACCTTTACTTTTAATATAATTTAGAAATTTGAGGGCTGTATCTGGTAAAAATTAAAATTAGTTATAATTACCAAACCTTGTTCCTTATAGCATGAGCTGGAGAATATTGAACCTACTCAAGGCCTGTCAATAGAAGCCTCAGTGACGTTTTTGCAGAGGCTAATTAGCCTGGTGGATGTCCTTATATTTGCAAGTTCTCTTGGCTTTGCTGAAATTGAAGGTGAAAAAAATATGTCATCTGGAGGAATTCTTCGACAGTGTCTCCGACTGGGTGAGCTGTTAAAACTGTTAGGAATTTCATTTCACATTACCAATCACCATACATTAAGGTGAAAATTGTCTTGTTTGGGGGAAGAAAGTATTGCTGCCAAGTGTCATTTTTCTACTTTTTAGTGCACATGGTAGTGTGGGTAGCAAGTTTGGTCATGGGGAGGGCATATCTGAAAATGCTGCTACGGCGATTCTAGCCAACGCTCACCTTCTCCCTTACCCCTTTGGAGCTATAGTGCTTCTCGAATTTCATAAATGGTCAGACGATCTTGTTAACATGTGTTCATCTGGGGTGAGACTCAGATTTTTTTCTCAAGAGACATTGATGTCGATTCCTTTTGTCTTACAAGCATATTTCAGGAGGAAGGTTCTCAATGGGTATCATTCAAGTGCAGCCTTTATTAAAATAAACTGTGCTAATTTGTTAAAGTAGTTCATAAAATCATTAAATCTGGTCTTCTGGATGTAGTTCTTTAGGTGAAAGCAAAAATATACAAAGTGGCTGTTATGTGTTAAGAAGTCTTCATTAGATGAAGCAAACCCTTTGTGCATGGTTTCTTGTTTCCAGCTGTAACCATTGAGATTTTATTAGATGACTTGCTTGTTAAATGGAAAGAAAACAGTGGGGGAAGGGAGCCTAAGAAATGGACACAAGCCCTGAGGAACCATGGCCTTATGAAGACAAGCAGTAATAAGGCACCAGTGAAAATACACCACCAGTAGAGAAACCAATTAATTATTTTTCTATATTTATTGAGAATGTTATATAAACTAGTTAATGTCTCTACTTAGATTTCTTTATGCTTTATTATTTTTTTTACTCAAAATGCCATTCAATGTACCTTTTAGTTAGCGCTAAAGAAATTGATAGAACAATTTATAGAAATTATTAAATGAGTCAAGTATATAAGAACAACAAAATAGGACTTATTACGATTGTTGTCATGATTGCTGATTTTCACACTGCATCAACAATCATTTTGTTCTTTATCCATGAAGAAATTGTAGACTGAGAATTAGGAAATTTATCTAAAATTGGAAGCTCTAATTTGTGAAGTTGAAATCTGAGTATACTTTTGTCCATTATTTTTGACTCTTTAAACTTGTTAGGGTTTCTGAACTGGACTGGGAATGTACCAGAGTGTTAGAGTAATTGCCTAGCATGCTGAAGCCTGTGCGTTCCTTTGTAGTACAACAAAACAAACCAAAACGTTCCTGAACAGATTCCCTTTCAGCAGAACCTAAAAGTGTAAATCACTGGGCTCTACTGACTCCCTAATCATTTTAGGGGGGCTGATGGGTGTTTGTTGAGACAGGGTCCTATGAAGCCCAGGCATACTTTAAACTTGCCTCATAGTTGAAGATGGCATTGTATTTCTGATCCCCTGCCTGTCTCCTGAGTGCTGGAATCATAGACATACATCACCATGCCTAGTTCTTTGCTGAGGATGGGGATCGAACTCGGGACCTTATATATGCTAGGCAAGTGCTCTACAAACTGAGCTACATCCCCTGCTCTGACTCCCCTATATCCTAGTCATAGCAGAACAGAAAACAAACCATAAATACTAGGTGATAGCCTAGGGACATTTTAGGAATTATTGAAAGTAATCTGTTTTGAATAAAATGTTATAGGAATTGTGTAGGCGATTTATATATGCTCCATATCCTTAAATATAATTTTCTTTTCTTTTCCAACCTTTTCCTTAAAATACATTACAGTGTGCGCAGTGGCAGTAAGGAATTGCTTAGAGTGTCAACAACATTCACAGTTGAAAGCTAGGGGAGATATGACAAAAGCCCTGAAAACAGTACACAGCCTGATTCCCATGGGGAAATCTGCAGCAAAGGTAAGATACAGAATCATTAATTTCACCAAGGCATACTTGTATTTCATAATTAAGCTTTTAAATTAGTTTGTGCACTTCAACATAAAGTAAATAAGTCTGACAGAATAGTTTAGTCTGTCAATTTAACATTTGAAAGTTTGTGTTTAAGCACACAAAGATTTCTTCTTAATCTTGTCTGCTTTTCAAAATACTTTTCTTGTTGCTGTGGTACTTTTCCCTTCAAATATGTCAACTTTTCGTATGTAACTCCTTCTGTAGTACCCCACCCCCTTCAAGAGAAGTATGAAAAAAGACTTGGAAAAGGAATGTTATGGCATACTTTTCTAGACTTTCAGAATACTGTGTGGATTTATTTTAAAAATCTGTATAATTTGTACATATTTTTATTATTATCATTATCTTAAATAGAGCCCCATGGACATTGTGACTGGTGGTATATCTCCAGTAAGAGATCTTGACCGGCTCCTGCAGGACATGGACATTAATCGACTTAGAGCAGTTGTTTTCAGAGACATAGTAAGTTCAAATGTTTCTTTCAAGTATTCTTTTAGTTGATAGATGCTTCCTCCTTGACTTAAAGTCCTTAAATTAAAAACTTGGTAGAGATAGGAAGACCTAGAAACCATATTTCCTGACAATGCTTTAGAATTATGAAATTTAGAAAGGATTATCTATGTTTATCACAGTGCAAGAGCAATGCACTAGCACATAGTAAGCAGTTTGTTTTAGTTTCTTTTCAATTGCTGTGACAAAACACTGTAACCAATACCACCTTGAGGAGGATGGGGTTTATTTGTCTTAAATCTCCTGGGTCACAGTTCATCACTGAGGGAGCCCAAAGAAGGAACTCAGGGCAGGAATCTGGAGTCAGGAGCTGAAGCACAGGCTGTGGAGAAGTTCTGCTGGCCTGCACTCAACCTGCTTTTTTAATACAATACAGGGCCACATGCCCAGGGGTGGCACCACCCACAGTGGGCTGGGCCCTTCCACATCTCTCAACAATCAAGAAAATGCCCCACAGACATGGCCACAGGCCAGTCCAATGGAGGCAATTCCCTAATTGAGGCTCCCTCAGTGCAGGTGTGTCCAGTTGACATTAAAGCTATCCAGCACACACTGCCTGACCTTTTCATGCACACAGCAAGTCCAATAACTTCTAAGAAAAATCTTCATTTTACAGATGAAGAATTTGAGAAATAGAGAACTTGAGTAACTTGGTCAAAGCGATGTTGCTAGTAAATGATAGAATTACCCAACAGTCTTGACTTCAGAATTCATGCTCTTAATGTAATGAAATATACTATTCCTGAATACTGTATTATTTTACTAAGTATTAGATTTTTTGTTCCTCAGATGTGTGCTAAAAGGTGATAAAAGATACATGATAAAATGTTTTTGG